TATTTACCTTATAAATATTTATTACATTTATTTGAGCTACATAGTATTCCATTATATGTATAAACATCTTTTATCCAGTCATTCATTCATGGACACCCAAGATACTTCCACATCTTAGCTGTTGTGAGCAGTACTACAATGAACATGGGAATGCAGGTGTCTCTTGACATACCAATTTCATTCTTTTGGAATACAAGCAGTGGGATTGTTGAATCTGATACGGAAAGTATATATCGTATTTTATTTTCCTCTCCCTTAGTAGTGTTTTGACTTTTATAATAAATATTGAAATATTTATGAACCAAATTACACAATAATGGCTTTATATTTCATCTTTTTTTTCCATATTAACATGTATTTAGGTTTGCATATTCCCCATACATAGTACATATATGAAGGACATGCATAAAACAATAAGAAGGACATGGATGCAAAAATTTTGGCAGCAGAAAATTGCATGAATGTAAATTATTTTGTTGGATACATTTTTAAATTCTCCCCAAATATTTTTTAAAATTTGAATTAAAGTAAGTCTTTGTGAGGTTTAGATCAGTTAAACTGGGTTCTTTGTGCTTGTTTACTAGTTAATACCCATTCACAGTCATGAAATGTTCACCTGTGGAAGAGCTGAGGCTAGGCTATTGAAATTCAAGTTTTAGAATGATTCAAAGGAAGATAAATATATTTAAAAACAATTTTTCCTTGTAAGCCATAGGTCAGTTTTGTGGTAAAACTGCCCTAAGCATTCTAAACAATTTATAAAGTATTTCAAATTTTGAATAACTTGACGTATTTATAAATCATATACTACCAATACACATCTCAAATCATTGTACTTAACATAGAAAATGCAGCTAAAATTGGAATGAACTTTTTTCTTTCCCCAAACATTCATTATTTGTTTGAGAAGCAGAATTTTAAAAATTACTGTTTAAAAATTTTTTCATCAGTGTAAACACTTTAGAAAAGAAAAAAATATGTTATTCCAAATCAAATTGATGAACTTGTTGCTATAAAATATCCAGTGAACAGTTTTGTTAAGATTATTATTTTTTGTTAATTTCAAACACACACACAGTTTGATTAATTAATTATTTAATTAGTTAGCTATTTAATTTTGTGCTGTAGATTGAACCCACCTAAGATTCTACCACTGAGCTATACCCCAGGTTCCTGAATTTAAAGGTTTTGTTATTGATTTTCCAAGATATTTTCATCTAAATGAAATACTATAGTTTAAATTTTATATCTAAAACTTATATGGAAACATCTACTTTACATGCAATTAATTTATATGTCATAATAAGTAATTAAATAATGAAATAAATTTATATAGTCCTTTTTATTCAGCTCTTCTGAATACTCTGAAACTGACCTATTACTTTTCATGGTATGCTCCCCAAAATTTGCAACAAGTTTCCTTCAGAAGTAGAAGGATTGTTGGATATAACAATCCTGGTCCTACCTCATACTTTTATCTGCATCTATAGAAATATATTTCAGTGAATCTGCTTTTAATAAACCACTCAAATGATTCTTGTGCCTATTTAAGTTTGAGAAACAAGTGTTAAATTTGAAAAGCCGCCGTGTCCTAATCTTTTCAGCATCAGTATCTCTGGGCTTTGCTATACACTGGGAGGATCTTTGCATAGCATACAGTGAGGTTTCCAATATTGCCTCCAGGTCCAGGTGTAGAAACTGAAGAAGCCCTGGATGTCTCTACAATTTTAAGAAAATAAGTAGTTCTGTCTTTGCCCAGAAACTGTGCATTAAAAAAATGGCTAATAAAATATACGTATAAATATGAACAAATTAATTTCAAACACCTGCCATAACAATTACCTATATCCCAAGCATAAGTACATTTTAGTACATTTCACAGTGGCTGGAAGTTCTATTAATTCCTTATCTTCTACAACAACTCAGCAAGTAGGAGAGTCTGCATCCTCCTACTCTGCGTCATTCAGAGGTACCTTTTTTTAGGAGTCAAATTCTGTTCTGCCCAGTTTAAAAAGACTTACAGTAAGTTTACTTTCATTCTAAGGATCAGGACAGATTATCCAAACCAGCTAAGGAAGAGGAAATCCCAAGCAATGCAAGATTCCTAGTAATGAAAATAAGCAGAAATCATAAAAGTGAGCACAAATCATAGACTTCTTCCATTGCCACTCTCCTTTTCTCAGGTACAACAGAGATATGGACCAAGAAGGTTGACCTTTAAACCATCTAGCCCCAAATTTGTCCTAAAATTAAATGTTTAAACACATTCATTATTATTTTTTTTCTCTTCTTCCCTTTCCTCATCTGTTTCTTTACCGTTAGGTCAAAATTTCTTATTCCCATTTCTGCTTAATATAAATGGAAAGTCAGTATTTTTATACTGTAAAGGAGGAAAATATTTTCCATGTACTTCATACTGAAAAGATAGGGCATCACATGCTGGCTACATGAGGCGAACCTGTAGGGACCAGAGTGGGCTCTGGAATCAGCCTATCTTGGTTCCAATCCAGAAACACCACTTACAACCTGGAAAACCTCCGACAAGTTGCTTTACCTCTCTGTGCTTCATATCTTTCATCTCTAAATGGGAATAGCATTGCCTCATAGGCTTGTTAATGGGATGAAATGAGAAAAAATATGTATAAAACCCTTAAATCTGAGCCTATATGTAGTGAACTTTCATTTATCCTCAGTGCTGTTACTGTGTTATTGAGGCTTAAGCTGTCAGCATGATTAAGGAACCCTCCTGGTGGCCAGGCTTCTGCTTACCTTCTTTGCCTCCCAGGTGTCCTCCTTTCACTTCCTATCACTCTGCTCTACTAAAGCCAGATTACTTTTTAGTCCCAAACTCTATTATCCCTGTCCTGCTTATCTTCGTGCTTGCCACACTGCCTAGTCATCCTTCAGCATTGTACAACCTATTTTCTATTAAGCTCCTGCCAAGTAAAATGGAATGCTGCTACGTTAATGTCCCCTGCCAGACATTTGTTCAAAGTTCTTCATTTCTCTTTCCCTGCTTTCTCCTCTAGACTGTGAACCTTCCAAGGGCAGGAAGAATGTGTTAGAAACCCTGAGGGCCATAATACCTGGCAGCTCTCTGTTATGTAGAAGGCATTTAGAAAAAGTATGTTGAATTAAAGAGCGCTTAAAAACTCAGTCTAGTAATTCTGAAGTCATAAAATTCTATTTAAAGTACAGTCACAGGAATTGGCTTCATGACCTCTTCTGGCAGCAAATCCCATTTATTACCACAAATGGCATAAAGTCATTGTGGATATTTGTTCAAAATTCAAAGTCATTTAATCACATCTGATAAATTGAATTAAGGTCTTGGTCCTGTGAATGGAATTCAGTTCTGAATATATCTGTGATGTTTCTAGCAACACCAATGACCTCTAATGTTTCGTTTCTATATATAAACATTGTTCCATTTAGTTATTTTACCAGTTTTTAAATTTATATATCATATAGTGTTATTACCAATCGTTACACTATCTTTTGTTTTGTTTTGGTACTGAGATTGAACCCAAGAGTGCTTAACCTCTGAGCAACATCCCCACTCCTTATTTTATTTTTATTTTTTTATTGTGAGTTAGGGCCTCAGTAAGTGGCTGAGGCTGGCTTTGAACTTTCAATCCTTCTGCTTCAGCCTCCTGAGTCACTGGGATTACAGGCATGTGCCATCTTGCCCAGCTAATTAGACTATAATCAAAAAGTTCAATAGTATTTTTTAAAACAATTTGTAAAACTAATGTTTTTATATTCTCCCACTTTGGTGGATTTTACACAAATCTACTGAAGTAGCTAGTACAGCGGTGCATACCTGTAATCCCAGCTCTTCAAGAGCATCACAAATTCAAATCTAGCCTGGACATCTGTGTCAAAATAAAAGATAAAAATTTTAAAAAAAGGAAAATATTTAGGGATGTAGCTCAGTGGTAGAGTGTCCCTGAGTTCAATTCCCAGTACCAAAAATTTAATCAATTGGTCAATCATCAATCTACTCAAGTATCCTGAATAAGTATCTAATTTCTAATACTAAAATTAACCCTTCTCTATAGGAAAAAAAATGTACATAATTAAGAGGTCTCTGAATACATTTTCATTTATGAGAAGACAAAATTAATTAACCACATTTATATTTATTCAAACATATCACAAATATCCAAACACTTCTTTCCATGGCCTCTGTGGCAAAACATATCAACCATGTTTCTCATTTCAACTACTGCAATAACCTTTGGACTGGCTACTGCTTCCACAATTTCCTCTCCACTAAACAGAACATTTGAAGTGATTCTTTAAATTTTTAATGAGATCATGTTAGTTTCCCAGTCAAAGCTCTCCTACCTCCATTGAACCATGAAATAAAGCCCGAACTTAGGATGGCCTTTGAGGCCCAATGTATCTGTTCAGTTAGCTCCACCTCCTGCCCTGCACCCTGGATCTCCACGACTGCAGGTACAGTGGAAATTTAAGAAATTTTTATAATTCTAGAAAATTTTAAAGCATTTTCTTCCATTTAAACCAATCATGTATGTTGGCTAAAAAAGTATCAACATGAAAATGAAAAACGTTAAAAAAAATCATCTACTTATTTGGCCTTTCTGTTGCTAAGTATCCATATATTTATAAAAATCTAGATTATTTAGTAACATGGGTCCACTTTTTGTGCTATATAGTACAAATGATAAACGTAATAGGTGAAGTACATGAAATATATTTAGCTATCAAGGCATACTCAATTCCTTAGAGTTTCAATTACAAAATTCATTCTTTTTAATTACATTTTCCTTTATTGATTTATGTAATTTAATAATGTTTTCCTAAAAATTTAAAGAAACCATGAATTGATATAAATAAAGGAACCAATAATACATACAAAAAATTCTAGGTTGTAAGATGTGTGATTTATTTTAGTTTCCCTTTTGGTTCTTTAGCTTCATATACAGTACACCCAATGTGTTTAGCTAACAAACTTGTTTCTCTCTTTTCAACAGGTTTAGAATGTAATAACTCAAGAATTCGATAACACAGTGGAATAGTTTAACAACTGTTTATGTGCTTCCCATGATATGTTCTCTGTATTGTAAGTAAATATTTACTTTCTCAATCCAGCTTGTTTGTGGGATAAATATGTTCAATCAGAAATTATAGGCAATGTATATTGTTTAAAACTCACCCAAGATATAGAACAAATTTATAAGATTATCTACTATGAAAGGATGTTCTGTAGCTTAGATTTAATACTGTATCAAAATTAAAACTTAAAATTATTGTCTATCATGATAGAATATATACTGATGTTTAATTATACTTTTAAAATGCTATACTTAATACTCTTAAGAAATAATAAACATTTGAAATGTATATGTCTACCCCTATTTGAACACTGCACATTGTACATATGTATCAGAACATCACATGATGGCCAATAAATATTTACTATTTTTATGTGTCAATTAAAAATAAAAAGGTTTTGAAAGCAATGCAGGAATAAAGAACTACTAAACAGTAAGTTTCAACTCTTAGAAATGGCAAAGAAAGGAAACAGCCCAATTCTTTCCCTCAGAAGAAAGTAAGCCATGAATTAAAGCCCTTTGCTTTAAAAAATCTATAATTTTTAACATGTTTAGGGCACCAGGACATGCTATATCTTAACTACTAATGTTATCAGACCTAAAATTTACATCTCAAGCCTTACTCTCCACTCTCCCAATTCTTTTCTTGCTGTAGCTCTTGTCTAAGGATATAAAATCTGGCACCCATGATGAGGAATGCAGTGAACCTTGATCCTTCTTCATGGAAGGGAGGAAAATGTTGGGTGCCTGATTTTATTTTGAGAGTTTGAGGTGGTGATAGGTAGGGTATTGACATCCTATTTCAGAATACAGACAAATTTTGATATAAAATATAATTTAATGCATAATGTAAGACTCTAAAGAAGTACTCCTGTCTATTAAAATATAATGTGTATAAAATATAATATTTTTAATCAAGATAGAATAATTTTAACACTTGATCAATGTAAAAACACTAATGAGACAATTTATATTTTTCCCAGTAATATTTGAAATTCAGTGTATTCTTAAAGCACATCTCAATTCAGATATTAATATTGTATTGGAAATACTTGACTTACATTAAAATATTATGAAATTTACAATTGAAGAATTAGCTTAACAAATTCAAGTTTTCCCACATATATTTTATTTTTGTAATAACTAAGTCAAATATCAGTTTTAAATTTACTTAAAATTAAGGCATTTCTGCAGTCAAACTATCCACATTTCAAGGACTCAACAGTTACATATGTGCACTTGATTGCAACATCGAGCAACTGTACTCAAGAGAACTGTTGACAAAATGCTACAGTTCTACTACCTAATAAATTTTTTACTAACTTCTGGACACAGTAAAGAGCATATAACTTTAAAATTTCAATGAAAAAAATTATCCAAAAACTCTGACTTAAAGTAAGGTTTTATATAATCACATATTTATGAAACATATATGGATAAGAAAAATATACAAATATACAATAATTTCCAAATAACAACACATGTTAAAATTTGTTGGAGTTTCTTAATTTCAGTTACATTTTCTGCTATAACTGAAGGAATTAGCTAATCATAGCCTCTTTGTTTCAATAAGTGAATCAAAATTTAGATATAAAATAAACAAAACTTTAATTGTGAAATACACTCATGAAAGAATGAAAATATAAGCTGCAGACATGTAAATCAAATTCTGATAAAGATTTGTAGCCAGAATATATAAATAACTCTTATACTTAATAATATGTGATCAAATTGAAAAATATCTGTGCTTCACCAAAGGATATTTATGAATGGTTTATGGGTACATGAGAAAATGTTCAACATCATTAATCATTAGGGAAATGCTCATTAAAACCACAGTGAAATATTACTCATAATCTATTAAAATGTATAAAATTTCTAAAATTTGACAATGAAAAATATTGATAGTATAGAGGACTACAGAGAAGTGTCAGTCATTGATGATGAGAAGTCAAAAAGCTACAAAGCCACTTTGAAAAACTATGTACCAGTCCCCTATAAAATTAAACACAGATGTTTCTTGACTTGCAAAGAGGTTGCATTCCAATAAACCAATTATAAGTTGAACATATTGAACATATTGAAATATATCAAAAATGTATATAATACACCCAACCTACTGACCATAATAAAATTCCAGCATCATGAGAGATTAACATATCACTAGATCAGAAAAAGATCAAAGTTCAAAATTTGAGGTGAATGCTGTACTGAATATGTATTGCTTTTGCTCAGTTGTAAATTTGAAGGGTTGTAAATTGAACAATCTTAAGTAGAGGATCATTTATATACATTTATTATATGATCCAATGACCCCAATTCCAGGTAAATTAAAAACTTATTTTTACTGAAAATCTATATGTGAATACTTGTAGCAACTTTATATTTAACTGTCAAAATATGAAAATAAAAAATCGGCTGTTTTGAACCAGTGAGTTGATGAACAAACTGTAGTATTTTTACACAAAGGAACACTACTTATCAAAAGGATATATTGGTTCATTCATAGCATGCATAAATCCTAAGTGAATTTTGGTAAGTGAAAGAAGACAGACCCAAATGACTAAGTGTTGTGCGATTCCATGTATTGCAAATTTTAGAAAAGGCAAAACATAAGAGATGGGAAACAGAACAGTGGTGACCTGGTTTAGACATATAAAAGAATTGACTACAAAGTGACTGCAATAGAAACGTTTGGGGGCAATGGAACTGTTCTATATGTTACTGTAGTGCTGAGGAGATTACTGTAGATATCAAAGCACACAGAACTGTACAACTATATAGTATGCGAATAAAAAATAAGAAAACAAACAGGATGGGGTATCCCAAAATGGAATTAATTAATCTAAACAAATTACAAATGTAAGTTATAATTTCACTGAAGGTTATTGGAAAAAAGGTAGTTATCAATTCTGTAACTACTTTGCAAGTATTCTGGCATGAAACAAATAAGTAAATTGTTAACAGCCAGAATAACCTGAACAAAAAATTAGAAACAAGATGGCTAAAAAAAAAGCAAGATGGCTAAATTTAATAGATTAGGGATTAATATCAATATAAACTCATTTTTATTTAATATACATTCAGACATAGAAATACAGAGAGTGTATTTCTATGTGCACACCCACATAACATTAGCTCTCTCTGCCAAAAGGTTCTAAAAGTAGTGACTCTGCTGTAGCAAAAAAACCCTTTCATATTCAGATTCAGCTTTTAAATACCATTCTCCAACATAAAAAGAACCAACTTCTTATGGGGGAAAATGGCTGATTCTAGGTCCTGAGCAGGAAAAATGCAAGGTAAGCCTCACCCGCACAAAACAAAGCAAAACTAACACATTGGGACATGTCAGAAGGACATGAGAGTCAACCAGAAAGAATTCTCAATGACCAAAGTTGAAACACTTTAACAAAATAATGATCTTATTATATTATAAGCTAAAGCATAAAGCAAAAATCCAATAATCCACACTGATATAGGTAATTGGTTGAACAAGCAAATAAATTGAGAGACAGATCTTACTTATATAAAAATTCCAAATAATACATGTAGATACCTCAGTTACCCCACCCCCCAAGATATGAACCTTAATTCTGTTCCCTTTGAGTACGGGCTAAATTAATGACTATTTATAAAGAGTAGAGATTATGGACTTGGGGAAGGTAAGTTTTTCTAGAGAAACCTGGTAAACACCACCCTCAAAAACTGATGAAGATTACCATCTCCAGTGACAAATCATGTTGATACCAAATACTCTGGTGTGATGGGATTAGGACACCAGACTTATGTGATATGCTTCCACAAAATCCATAGTCCCACTCTAATCATGAGAAAATCATTACACAAAAACAAAATGAGGGACATTCTACAAAATGCCCCACCTATGCTCTTCAAAAGTTGCAATGAAAGTGATAGGAAAGACTGCGAACCACAGTTGAAAGGAAGGAGACATTACAACAATGCTATTTGGTACCTTATGTTTCACTTTGAAAGGAAATATGGGAATTATTGGGGAAAACTGAATAGATCCTATAATTTGGTTAATATTATTGCATGAATGTTATTTTGACAAATGTGCCTAGTTAAGAATGAGGGAAGGAAATATGGGAAATCTCTGTGTATCTTTGCAACTTTTCTGTCAATCTCAAGTTTTTACAAAATAGAGAAATTAATTTATATGAACTACAAGCTTTTACTAGCAAGGATTAATGTCTACCATGTTTAAGGGACTTTAAATGTCAATAACAAAAGTAAAATAATTCAATTAAAAAAGGTCAAACAGGGGCTGGAGCTCTGGCTCAGTGATAGTGCACTTGCCTGGCATGTGTGAGGCACTGGGTTCAATTCTCAGCAATACATATAAATAAAGAAAATACAGGTCTATCAACAACTAAAAAAAAATTTAAGAAAATGGTCAAAGGACATAAACAGCTAGCCCTCAAAAGAAGAATCTCAGCTAGGTGCAGTTATACTCACCTGTAATTCCAGCTACTCAGAGGCTGAGGTATGAGGATTACTTGAACCTAGAATGGAAACCAGCCTAAGCAACATAGAAAGATTCCCATGTCAACAAATAAAGGAGGAAGAGGTGGAAGAATTCAAATGATAAATAAAAAAGGCATAAATATATAAAAAATGTTTTTTATTTGAAATAAGTTTCAACTGTCCCTGTTCTAGGTTAATGAAAGCTCTTATTTGCATTGACTTTGTGCTGAACACTCAGGATAGACCAAATCAAACAGAACTTTCAAATTTTAGTTCTGTGTATAGTTTATATTAATTTAAGACATTATATAAAAACAACTAAAAGCAACTACATAGATATCAAGTGAACTAAATCACAGAAAGGCAAATCCTGCATATTCTCTTACATGTGGATATTTTTTAAAAAAGTGGAACTGAATGTAGAGTTGTGATTAGTTGAGTTTGTGAAGGGTGGAGAGGAGGACAATGGAAGGAAGTTGTACATTGCAAAGCAAAACACAGATAGAAATCATAAATCTAGTGT